CCCGACATTTCCATAGGCAACGGTAGCTCGGGTGGCCATTTAATGAGCTATAAACCGAGCTGGACAAACACATCAAACGAATCGTCCAATGTGTTTCCGCAGTGAACTTGCGCATATGTTAGACTCTGTTTATAGTCACCTTCATACGTGCTGAAAGTCTGCATAATATAAGAAGTTCTATGTGGAAATAAACTGCGACATACATCTGATATACCTAGAGGAATAGATGGGAACCTTTCGCCGTTGCGTCATTTTTATCATGGTGGCCTGTTACTGTTTGCGAAAAATTAGGCTGGCCAAATGTTAGGTTGAGCCTTGTTTTCAATAATTATGATATTTCCGTTGATCATTTGGCCATTAAGTATAACTCCAAGTGTAGATCCGTCACTAAGAGACTGTACCTTACCGTGGTGTGGCGGTTTGTGTACCTCGGCACCCCACTGAGATATACTGGGGAGTGTCCGCACGATGCTCACAGAGTTTCTCATACCAGGTTGGTCGATGTGTAGAGGTTCACCGAACACAATCTCATAGCCCTCCAGTTTGCGGGTTGGACAACGTATGGCGACGTGTTCCGTAGAAAATGGTAATGTACTTGCATTTCCAGCTGTAAACCGCTGGCTTGCGGTTGGGCTTTTAGCCAAAGGCTTTGGTTGTGGACACTAATTGTCCTCCTGTCTATGTGTGGGCGCCCTGGTATTATCCCAGCCCTCGTACAACCATGACAGCACGGCAGTGAAGCAACAGTGCCAACACTGTGGTTGCTGTCTCTGATGATGATGATGATGATGATGATGATGATGATGATGATGATGATGTAAATCAGGTGGGCGCTGATCGTTTTTCGGTGCCTGGTAATTTGTGTGGAAATGTAATCACTTCACGGTTAAGTGGGTCACTAATGTCAATAGAAAACTGTCAACAATTTGTTTCTAATATTCTCATAGTTCTCAAATTACTGATGGACACTAAGTACAAAAAATATGCAAGTAAGTTCCACAAGTGTCATCACAGCCTGAAGGGGGTAGACACATACAGAGGTGTCAAGTTTGTAAAACAAACTACGTCCGTAAAATATTGGGTGACCCAAGTTCGCCGTTTGGTAGATGAACAAAGTGTTTAAATCTAGAGCGGGTATTTGAATACAATAGAGCATGCCACTGAACCCATTTAATATTATATACTAATTGATCAAATTTTTCTGACCAGTTTCAAAACATCGGGGGATCCGGGAATTATCACATTGTTCCAAGGCGTTTATACTTGATATCAGGTGAAGATTTTGTAGTACGAAGTAAGCAACCGAAACGGTTTCCTAAGTAGATCATTTGCATTGCTATTACTATGAGATCCGTTCAAGCTCAGAATGGAAAGAATCCATCTACATGCAGGCTCACATGCTTACGTCTCATCTGACCAAATCCAATATCCTGTCTGCACCATGAGACACCTGGCAGTGGGGGTGTGGGCATGCACTGGTTCATAAATCCGACGGTAACTAGACAGTAGTACTAGGTACCTAAACATAACTAACTCAGTGTATGATTCTCGCTCCAAATTATTTGTGCATCCCTGCTATTCACCCGCTTCCTCTAACTTAACTTTTCAGCGAGACATCTGATTTTGTCTGGTAACCCAAAGGCTCCAAATGTTGAGAGAAATAGCAGTAATTTTACAAAATTTGTGCCAGTCGCACGGTTCTATCATGTCCTGCGAAGGCCAATGGACTGCAAAATGATAGCCACTCACGAAAATTGCCTCGCGGGACGATTGTGTCTATCAGGTTATGCGCAGTTTGTAGCCAGTGGTCACTAGCAGCAGACAGACCTGGGCAGGAGACGAGGACTGACAAGGACTGACAGGAAGTGGTTCCATAGACATACGGGTAAGCAAGCGTCGCGAATGACACAACCCTACAATTAATAATGATGCGATCAACAGGAGTTGGAAATAGTCACCGAAGCGGCAAGGGTTTCTAGAAGCAACGACATGTAAGCACTAAACGATGTACAAACTTCCGTATACTGGCAGTCTGACAGCGTGAGTTGGCCGTATAGAGATAAAGTGACGCAGAAAATTAGTACGTTTGAGATATAGTGGGCTGTCTTTTGGTTGGCGACGCAACGTTGCAGCTCATGCCGCGTGACACGTTGGACGGGCGTAAGTTTCGTTACTCGTGAGCAGTCAGAACACAAAGAAAATTATCACTGTTCACGGATGGTTCACAAGAGAAATCAACACCTGGTTTGGACGCTCCGAGACTTACCACTTCAGTATAAACCTAGAATTTAATTGCAGTATCATCAGCTTTAAAATTCCACCGCATTTGCTGATTGCGCGAATCCGCAACTTTCTCCTTGATGAATGAAAGTTTGTCAAGACATAAATTAGCAGAAGCATGCCCATTTTCTGAATATTTTAATGGTGTGATTTGGAAAAAAAGCCGGCGCACAAGTGAAAGTAAATTATTCGTGCATGAACACTGGAAAGAGCTAGCAAGCATGTGAATTCGTAACCACAGTGCATACATAATTACCTACAGATCATAAAGGCCTTAGTCCTTACAGTTTTTGTGGTTCATGGTTACCGATGATTTCCTGACTCCTGTGGAAATCTTCATCTGATCGTAGTAACCCGTGAAATAATTCGGTGGAATCATGTCTATGACATTACCGGGGTTTTCTAAGGAACCTTAGATAACTCGGCGTATGATCGGTTTGAGATGTGTATTCCTCAAAGCAGCGTCTTTGAAGCGCACAAACTTAAGCACCCTTGTACAAGAATCATATTGTTTGCACAGTTGTCAAAAATCTCAAAAGCAATAGGTCGCCAAATCGGAAATAAAATATGTGTCAGCCAAGTGGGCGAAGAACGCGGCAGAAATAGACTTCGATGATTCTCTTGCCAACTGGAAGGCAGTGCGTTTCTTTATGCTCTCACAAACTGTAAAGCTCTTCCCTATATGTAGAAATGGAATCAACGGCGAACAGATTTTACTCTCTACACCAGAACACCAGCGATTTGCGGTTATAAGCCAGACTAGTACATCAAACTACGTCACAAGTCTGTTGCAAATAAAGGATTTCCGTCTAAAGTCATCAAAACCACATTGTTTAAAGTACCAAACGAAAGATACAACAAGATATTTACAACTGTGGTGCGCTCAAAAATTATTCGTTTATTTCTAAGGGATGGATCATTTGTTTATTGTTCCTAAGCGGTCGGATTTTGGGTGGGAATACCTAACGAGAGGACTGACACAAAAAAACAACTAAGGTTTCTGATGAGATTATCTTTCTTATGGCTCCTCCTGAGTCTCCGTAGGACACTTGTTTCACTCGATCGCAAGTTGCACGAAATTCAACAATCTTTAGCGCCCTTATTTGGTTACTTAAAAACCAGTATATATGAAACCGAAATACAGACACTGTTTGTACAACACATTCAGTTGAAGAAGGTCGTGCGCCAGAAATTCAGTGAGAATTCGACCGGACATCCCGTGAAAACGAAATTGGCATGCGGTTAGGCACATCTGCTTCTAATTCGCAGGACTTAAAAAATTTCCAGGGGCCTGAAAATTATTCACGAAATTACAGCGAGAATGACATAAAAAGAGATATTTCAGGGAGGAAAGGAGAAGATAGCTGCTTTACCAAAAACACACGTTAGACAACGTTCACCGTTTACGGTGGAAATATTCCTTAATTCCTACGCTTGAATCCAGCCACTGTGTCTACCTTTGTACTTCCCCCTTTGCATCCCACTTCTAGAGAATCTGCCACAGCCGATGGTGTCGAGGAGTATCTCTGAGAAAAACTAGTCAAAAATCAACCCACATTACCACCATAGGTGTTCAGCAAACAAAATAATGTGTACATTTCTTGCGGGAAAACAGACCTAACCTCTTAGCTCTGCATTCCATTTACACGCAAACTAAGTGTTGCACCTTCAGGTATTTAGAGGCACCGCAAAACAATCATTTAATCCGCAAAAATGCGTGCATTTTCTGAAGCATATTATCATCCGATAATGTACGTTATTGATGATTTATCCTGCCTTTGATTTCGATAATTGTAAGTACCTGTAGCAAATGAGATAGTGGCATCCGCATTCGTAATCTCTTTTGTGGATGAAAATTGGCGTGCCTGTATGCGTATAGTCAGCTACTTGTAATTCATCTACTTGATACAGGTACTGGAAATCGTGAACCACGCGATTCTTTTCATGGGAAACAGGACGTGAAAAAGTATACTCGAAGGATTCAAAACAGACGCCCACGAATCATGTGCTGATGGGAAGGCCTGTAACCCCTGAATGAATTTTGTATTTTCTGAGCTGTGAAGTTTGTACAGTGATGCGTAATTATTAACAAGCTAAGTAAATTCAGTGGCATTTTAGTGAGCCAAGTTCACAAATTTAGCAATAGGCGGAAACCACAAGAAGCACAACGGTCGAACCTACGCGGCAATCCGTAGGTTTCCTAGTGAGCCATACTGACTATTGAAAGTATAGCCTGCTGAAGAAGGCAAAATCCAGGAGCAAAAGCAAGCAGATAAGAAGTGGGTGCTTACGAACATATCAGACTCAATTTTGGAACCAACTGAAACAGCTTTTTTATTTATCACAATGCCCTCCTCATTTTGCGAGCTGTTAAAAAACAGATTCTTGGTCGATTTCTTTACATAAAACATTTGACAGTTCCTCAGCTTGGAACATGCATTAATTAGCCAGCTGAAAACGAAGCATGTGGAATCTGAAGATGGAAGATACAGACCACTCGTCTGCTACAAGCAGGTCTCTGGCATTCCGTTGGTAATGGGCCAGTGAATGCATCAACAAGGCATACGATTTCTTCTAGTATTTTAACCGGGTCTAGCTTATTCACCTCCCTTGATCCTATACGTAGTGTGTCAACATTCGACTTTGTTTGTGAGGAAACAATGTAGTTAAGAAACTGACTAAAATATACTATTCCGCTCAAAATTGTGAAAGTTTATTACTTGTACGACCGTGTGTGAATATTCCAAAAATTCCTTGCATGACTTCACTGCACCTTCATTAAGGTTTCGGTCAGATCGGAAAACACGGATCAGATCGATTTCAGATTCAGCGTTGTTCACAGAAACAAGCATTTTTGCTGCCTACTGAGGTTTCTTTTGATCCACTTCGAGGAATGTTCTATAAAATTGTTTCAGCTCTCGCAATACGTTCACGGGAATGCATCTTTTTGGTGTTGGAAACTGGGGGTACATCCAAGATGTTTTCAGCACGATCATCAGCATCAATTTCATCATCAAGGATGAGAGCAGACTGGAACTGCAGCTTTGAAACTAACGGCGCATAAATTTCTCCTGCAGTAAACAGAAAATATTTTGAAACATCCTGCCAGTTTTGCCTGGTTACTTGTCAATCAGAGTGCAATCCACGTCAAGCGATAACTTCATGAGACACTGGGCCACATGGAATAAACGGGGCACCAATGCTAGATTATAAAAGGTTGCAGTGATACACTAAGGGTTCAGTTACTTGTCACTTGATTGCTTGAGTTACATATGGGTGCCTAGAAGCTGCACATCTGGTAGATCGAGTCTCCTAATATGTCGTCTATCAACACAATAAACGGTGAGAGTCCTATCCAAACATGACATGCTGTGTGAAACACTGATTTTTAAACTCCATACCTCTCTATGTGAGGTTGTGCGCACTAGTACGTATACATAACTTGACGTGTCCAGTTTGTTCATCCATCGTCTACGGCTTCCCTTTGCTTTGGCAAAGGGTGGAGAAAAACCCCTTCCTATTATTATTTTTTGTGATGCTCTCAAGGAAGAAAGCCTCTAACGGGAAGCCGATTTGTTGAGCTTATTTAAACATGACCATTTCACTAGAGACACATGTTAACAAACAACACTGAATACGTACGGCCTAAAAGAACACGAAACAAAAAGGGGAGAATCGTTTAGATCTGCCGGGCCGGGTGGAATTCATCATGCAATCTAAAAACCACTAAACGTGTTCCTGGTAGAATTGGGGAGCTGGGGGTTTTAAATGTAAGTAGCAGCTAACAGAAAGCCTCAACCGTTCGTTGGGACGATCGACGCCCAATGTGCAATGTGCTTTCTCCTCGGGCCAGTGAGTTATTCCAGCTTTGTGCTACAAATATGTTCGGCGTCCCACATATACTACTTCGACGAGTATAACATAATTGGGCTGGGAAGCTGTTTGGTTTTACATTACGCCTGCATTTCACGCAATATCAATGCTTAAATAACTTTGGTCCGGCTGGTGCTGCGTTTGAAGTGATGTTCCGGGGTTCGATTACCAGGGCAACTAACGGGTAGCAAGTTCACAAATGCACCAGTTTGTGCAAGCTTGGGAGCATTATTGGCATAATAACATTTGAAATTGTGTGCTGTTATACTTTAGTTCCCTAATAAGTATAGCTATCTCAAAAATACGCAAAACTGTGTGCGAACGGGGTATAGTCCGTAGACCGAGGTAGCACAGAAGTGACATACTCTAAACCATTATAGCTCGGCTGGAATAAAATTGAACTCCGTGTCTAGGTATGATAATAAAACATTGTGCTATAAACTTTTAGTGCTGGTTTAGTTACATTTACCATGACCCTGTCAACGAAAGCAAGCGCATTCAAGACTTGAATACTGTAAAATTCGCTGCAACGTCCAAATGAGGTCTAAAACCGCATAAATCTTTTGTTCACTTATGCTATGCGATCTAACTTATGGTAATGTTGGCTAGATCAATATAAGATTTAACCGGAACTGAAATTTTTTTGAAAATGCGTCTGCATTATTTCTTGATTTCATGTAGGCACATAAGTACTTCGCGTCTGGTCGCCTAAGTAGATCAGTTTAGGAACACGTCACACTAGGAAAGATGTTCCTGCAAATGCGATTAAGAGATTTCAAAAGCAGATTTATACAGCACACCATGAATACCTCCAGCACAACCTTGAAGAACATTTTTCTGCCGCAGGTAGCACTGCAATACAATGTTATCTGCTGATGTTCTGTGTGGTTTGATAGTTGATCTCAGAATCCATGCGGTTCATGCAACCAACAAAGTTTTTTTAAACCAAAAATTGTGATGCATGCACAGCAAACGCGCCATCATTTGACTGATACTACTGATGCATGTTTGCATCACTATATATTTACGAATACGCTTTACCATTTGTGCTGCTTGATGTCGTGACAGCGTCCAAGGCTTGTGAACTGTAGTCAGGTTACTCAAATGCCTGCAGTTTTATCTGTGAATGAGAATATTGATTAATGTGTAGTATTGTGGCTTGTGGCCTGTATGTGCGCAAGGGTGCATCTTCTATGCACATCGCGTCATCCGATGCTTAATATGTACGCATGAAAAAAATAAGTGGTATAAACCATGAACTGGTATTGGTTGCTGTTGCGAAAACATTTAGGAAATCCAAAGCTTTTGTCCATGATACTCCTTATTCCAAACACACAATCACGATCATCATATGAGAATATACGTCGATTATAGTCATCATAAATGTGCTTGCGTGTACATACGTGACAGAGCTTGGTCAGATCCACAATGTAGGCTCATTTGAGGTAAATTCGTATAAATCTTGCGTCAGAATGTGTAAATAAATCCCAAAGCCCAAGATTAAGTGTCGATTCGGTGGGAAGACAACGCCGTTCACAACAAATAAAAACGTCCCGTGAAATCAAATATCGATAATCATCTGGCAGCGGATCACTTTTTTTGTGACGTAGTACGTCGCGACCCGGAGGAAAAGTAAATTTTTGATCAAGGCTCCCAAATTTGGACCATTTGTTTTCATGAATGATGGATGATTTGTTGGTGGAGAAACGATGTTTTTTGGGTGACACATCAGACTACTCCGCTTATCCATGTTTTAGGAACACCGCGGCAGGCAACACAAGGGTTTGAAACTTTAAATCCACATTGGACTAATGCAAAGCTTTATCAGTTTACGTTTCAGTACAGCCACCTAATTTTATTGTCATTGGTGGTATTATTTTACAATGGGAAAAGATAATTAAAAGTAATTTAAAATGACTACAAAAATGCCCGTGTGGCACTAGACCATCCTAGAACGAATCGTTGCTGACAAGTGAGCAACGAATAAAATTTCGACCAAAACATTAAATTTGGTTTTCTAAATTTCAACTATTGTACTAGCTGAGCTGAAACGTCGGCTACAGTAATATCAGAACAAGACGATTGTTCAAAAATCTTCAACGTACTCAGGATTCGCATATTGGACCTATATCGCATTACCCAGAGATGTGTTCATTGTACGAACTAAATGTCATTTACTGTCCGTTCCAAACAACTGCGCTGGTCCCAAGTTGCGTGGGCTTTACGCCCGCCAACAGTCATAAATAAAAATCGAACGCCCAAAGGACAAGTCATTGCTAATTTCCAAGTCGTTATTGTAACACCTGAGAATTCAACCCAATTTTGAGACCAATTTGTGCAGCTCGTCAAATTCAGTGTACTGAGTAACTGATATGTACCATTGTGGCGTCAAGAGAACCATCGTTCTAAAAATGGTAAAGAAGAAAATATTTGCACATTGAGAATGCCCAACGATTCTCACTGAACTGTGACTGCAACTGCACGTTACCACTTAATTTATCACTTTCAGGAAACCATGTGCCGGTTGATCGTTATTCGATCACTTCCTAAGAACAATGCAATATTCCAGAGGTACATTTTTTTCCGTTGGAATTATCATTATAGGCCCAAACGTTTAAACGATTTCATCACAAAAACATATTGAGGGCATGCAAGTAGTTTCAATATTTCTGGTTGGAAAACATATGTTCCATGCCTGCACAGATGAAACACATCTCAAAAATCGCCTCTAGGGTGCATTTTGGATTCCTGTGATTCTGTGCCTTTGCAGTCCCGAGCACTCCGGACTTTCACAAATTGAGCCAGTTCTACTTCATAGTGAAGAATGTGGCAACGACTCATCTGCTGATGTTGTGGCAGACAAATCTGAGAACAATTTTAGTTCTCGTTCTGCATCTGGGGGAGATCGTGAAGAAGAACACGGTGGACTCTTATCTATAGTGATTTTACACAGTAAGAGAGGATGCGCAAAGCGTGATACATACAAACGATTCTAGTTTTCTCATATAGACAGGGAGATTTTGTGGCCATTGGGATAATTCCCGATGTTCCTAACTACTAAACCGACGTCTAGTTGCCCCATTTCATGAAATGACATCGCTTTTTGTCCGTTGTCTCTTGTCTGTGATTATACCAATTTCAAAATGAACATTTAAGCAATGACCTCATTGGCTGTTTATAGATCATCTTACCCAGTGTTCACGCCGTCAAACAAAAATGCCAAGTAGTATGAGCACCTCATTCCTGGAAAATTTTAACCAACAGGTTATTTTCATGGTATATTTGTTTGCGTTTATGGTTTACCAAAGTACAAACGATCAGAGTATTTGGGTTTTAAAACCTTATCCCAGAACGATATGATTGCATGCCAAAAGCATTTCATATGGTGCCATCAGACCGCCCGAATTGTAAGTGATTTGTCAACAAGGAGCTTTAGCTGGCTTTCAGAGATTAACATACTGTCAAATTCGAAATTGTCTCATGGTGTCAGGGTGAGCCCATTAAACCGAGAGAGCTTGTGAGAAAGTAGAATTTGGTTTTGTGTGACTCGATCTTTTGATGAAACCGTACTAAGGCTAATTGAAGAAGTTATATGGAAATCGTGGGAACTTATTGTTCAGACGTAGATGGAAGGTGCAGTGTCTACTGGTTGAACGGTGAGCGGTCAGGAAGACGAAGCACACTTTACGCATTAACGGATGACCATTCTGATTAAAGTCACGTTTCCATGGTGTTCCCATATTCAGTTGACATCCCACAAAGTTCCACAGAACTGCCTCAAGAAATTGGGATTTAGTCACCCACTAGAAGAGTTAAGACCTCAATGGTTTCCTTCTGAAGCATTTTCGGGTTTATTTCCCACAAACATTCGTATTTGTAGCACATATTCTGGCAGAGATCTACCGCGGTTCCCTCTCAGATTGTGCTTATATCTGAAAATTGTAAGCATGAAGACTAAATTTGGAAGGTCACAAAATGTTACGTCAAGTATATTATTGCTCGTTATCTTGCACTGAATATGTACCTCCATCTGAAACGCATTCCTTTGTGAGGTAGTTTACTGACAGTACACATCCAGCGTTAGAATTGTGGTTTAGGAATGCAAAGAAACGAATCAACGGTTTCATGCTTGACACGGTCATTGGATGCCCACGGTACTATCCAAAATATTTTGAAAATGTATTCAAATAAACCAGTGTGTTCAAAAACGTCCAGGGCTATGAAAGTCAAAAATCATGCATTTTGACCATTTCGTAGAATTCCAAAATAATCAGCTCCCGCAAAATTTCAAATAATCATTGTGTTTTTTCACCCCCGGAAATATCACAGTTCTGAATAAGAAAACGACTCTCTACAATGCGCTAGTATTCGGGTAGCAAACTTCGTATTGCCCTTTATGTAACTACTCTGCTGGGGAGGGTTAGTGTCATCGAGGCCAAGTTTGTTGCATCTAGTTTCAGACATGGAACTCACCCTAAAGTGTGGGAGTTCACTGAACATGTGTGCCAACGGCATACTCTTCCTTAGAAGTAACCCAGTACCAGGGTAAAGCGAATCATTTTTATCAGAGTAATGCTCTCAAGTAAACTAGTCAAAGATGAAACTGGTTAAAAATCAAAACAGACCGTGATGCTGCCATTCAGCCGTTGCCGAAATCGGCCATTGCTAGCCACTCGTTTCGCAGTGACAGGAGACTAAACGTAAGAATTTCCGCCACTATTATCACTGAACTTTTCAGAACAACGTTAGGAGCCCACACCGAAGATTTTAGAAGTTGAAAATACGAAAGGTCAGTCAAAACCGATTTCTATAGTCCCTGGCGGTACTTAACGGAAAAACCTTATGATTTTTAACAGCCCAGTCATTTCCATCGAAGCGCTTGATCCCTCAAAAGGCTATAGATTTTTTGGATACCTACAGCATATTCGACCATAGTACCATAAAACAACACGACCAACAATCCAATTCCGAAGAGGTTAAACCGTTTCAATAGTGTAGGGTATCTGTATGACTACCGCAAAGCCCTTGCCAACACAAAAGTGATTCTGGTGAGTTCCACCTTTGTAATGAGTTAGCAGGGCCAGATGTTGTGCTCCGCTTCGTCGTGCCATACACTGTGTGCACAACGGAGTTTGTGAGTTGCGGTGCAATTATTTCTGGCATCAGTGAGTAACGCATTCTAGTCATCTTAATGCAACAGTGAGTTACAAGATAAACAATGACAAATATCGTCATTTGAGGGAAGGACACTTTTACTACATTCCGTTCATCTTCATTTCAAGTACATGAGCCGTATTGCCTACATAGTATATAATTACTCAATGTCTCGCAATCCCTAATGCTCTCTCCGTTGGATGTTTGTGGTCTCAGAAAATTATGGGCTTTTGATTGTGAATGTGTGTCTTTGCGACATGGAGTAACTGTGCGGTAAGAACAACTTTCGCAATATGCTCTGCTCATTTTCCACATGCATCCTGTTACCAATCTATTATGCCTGGAAATGTTTAATTGTTGATAATTGTTTGGTTAATCTGAAATCCAAGGGCAATTATTGCGGAAAAGTTCGTTTGTTTTAGACATTCATTCTCGCAGTTTCAATAAAAAATCAGCCGATAAAGAGGAAGATAAATTATCCTACGACACGTTGTTTCTAGTGTTCAATTTTTCCATGAAGTAGATGATCTTTAGCGTCATACTGAGAAGAACAGAGTAAAGGCAATTGCACTTAACTCTTCTCCTAACACTTCTGAGCATTGTGCAAGTAATAAGTGGGAACATGGTAAAATTTCACCTAATTTTGAATGTCTATCTATATGCACCGCTGCTTAATTATATACTCACCCAATGGACATAGTGATCTACCGGCAGAACATCCTATCTGGCACCATTATTATCTCAGTAATACAAACGTGGATTAGCCTTGTTATGACATGAACCTTCGCAATACATTTTATTCTTGGAGCTTATGTTACTTTCATAATTTCATTGCTGCGCAGGAGCACAGGAATGTTTTTTCCGTGAAAATTTCAATTCGTTTTACTTCTGGTGATTTATGTCTGTGTAAAGTTGGTCAAATACTTGACACGGAAAGAGACAAAAAAAATAAAAAGGCGAAGCATCTTAAATCATTCTTTGGTTGCAGTTCAGATAAGGAAAATTATTACAATATGGATCCACATAAATTATTGTTAGCGAATTTATATTCGCATGCCAAGACAGGAATGCAACAAATTATGGACTTCTCCTAAACCTGCAACCGACTTTCAAGTGGTCAACGCACTCGCATAACCTGAACTTCCCCAATAAAAACGCGGGATTTCATTCTTGCGTCGACCACCTGCTGATAGATTGGGCGTAAGCGATGAACAACCTCGCAGAATCACTCTTCGTGCATAATCTTCTTTAATTTAATATCTCTGAGAGAGCAATTGAGAGCACCGTTATTCCTCACCGAGCAGCTCTGGCGCAATGCTACATGGGGCTAATTTGGCTGGAGTAGAACAAGGATGGTGTACATTCAAACTTGCACGGTGCTCGTGCAAGGTGTTGGCGTTCAGAGCGCTGGCGATATAGAAGTTTAGTGAAGGTGATGGAGGTTTTTTAACCTTCTCCATAGTTGTAACATTTCATAAGTTATAGATTCCCACCCCAAGTTGTAGGCATGTGGAAAATGTCAAATAAACTTGTTTAAAATAAAATGAAAGGCGAATTACGCATTTTTCATCAGCATAATAATGTCACTAATAGCATGGAAGGGTCACGAATGCAAAAAGTCAACCCAAAAGCGTGATCATTCTGGCGAGCTTTGAAATCGCAAAAAAAGAAATGTTCAAGATCATAAATAATATTAAGCGCCTGCTAGCGTTCGTGGGAGACTATGGTATGCGGTGAAAATACTGAGGAACATAATCATGCCGGATGAAGCCCGAATTGATTTATCATCTGCTCCGTTGATTGAAGGCCCATGGGGTTCTTCCTTATCAACACCCGAACTCTCCGTTTTTTGTTCTCGTGTACTTGGGGTTACCTCAGGTGACTGATCGAATGTGACGTTCAAAAAACTAGAACGTTCTTCTTCCGTACTCCTGAAACTTATCGAGGTTTGTTCTGTTGTACCGATATTCGTCAGCGATGATTGGTCTGGTTGGACGGCGGGAGACACAAAAGATTGTCCCGTTGTACTGGTCAGCTGGTCTCTGGTCGTTCCTGATTCACTAGGCGAATGAGACGAAGACGGTTTTGTTGTTCCAAATGACGGTGTGGTCGGTTGATGAGTCGTAGTACTTGTTGGTTCTAAACATAGGTCGGTGTAACAACACCTAGTATAAGACATGTAAGCATCCGTCTCCGTGACTTCCTCCATCGAGCATGTTCCGCATAATCTCGTGGTTGTGATTAAATCTTCAGTTTTGAAGTAATAGGTTACTGCCTTTCAAGTGGAAAAATATAGGACAACATGTGCCTACAGTGGCTATGCACAAATGTTAAAAGCCAATTTTTGCACAATTTAACTTTTAGCATACCAACAAAAATGGTTCTGAATAATCAGAAGTATCGTTTACAAAAATGATGATGTGCCGTCAATAGTAGGGCAATAAGCATTAGGCTGGTAACCACGGATTGTTTGGAGTGTTTACACAAGTAATCTGGATTCGTAATTTGTCATCCAATATTTCAAGAAAAGAAAATCTCTTAGAATGCTCGATTTATGAGTGCAAATTGAAACAATACTATCTGTTGGCAGAAATTCATCTAAGTAAAAACCTTAAAGACGAACGTTAAACAACAATAACCTAACTTCATCTAAAAGTAATACTTTGGGCATGCTAACGATCTTTTTTGCAAAATCTCGTTTGTGTCGCGATTTTGAAAATCTCCAGCGACGTTTGAAGACTTGGAACCAATGATGATTGTGAAATATGGGAAAAAGGTGTGCTTGAATTCTAAAAAACGTATGCGTTGCATTTGGAATTGGCAATTCAACAAAGAACACTTACTAAACATCCCGCCTTGCAACCATCGTGGACATATACCCCTGGAGATCCTTCAGTAGGATTTTCCGGACAATCATTACATCGGAAACAACGAAGGGAGTTTGCTGGATATGTAATCTCACATAAGTTTTATTCTCACCTTCGAAAACTTCGTTAACTATTAATGTGCCTGCAATTAAAATGTGCAACATGTCTAGCGTAATCAGCTGGAAAATAAATTGGGAAATGCCATAGCCTATTATATTTATAGACACATGGCTTTGATAGGGTGTATAACGTGAGTGAATTTCATATCACACATGTAGGTCAACAACACAACTTGGGTAGGATTGAAGTTCACTCTGGCACACTTTTCTGTGCCTACGCAATCGAAACTATTCACGGAATGGCGACTTAATATATCACATACATCACATGCAGGTGAGTGTTTTTGGCAACAAACACTCTAATCGTGTAAACAATGGTTAACACAAGATTTTTTAATGACGGATAACGATTTCTACGTGTTCAGTCTGATTAAGAAAATTACCGGCCAAAAAGCGTTGATCTGATATGGTATTCGTCAATGAGGGAAAGATTAGCAGATAACCAACGAAAAAAGTCTTGTAACGCCGTGACTCATGGTAAGATCTGAGATGGTTTCTTTGAAAAGAAATGCGTGCCTTCTATATTTGGAGTGTTTATTTCATTTCTCGCAGATTATGGTGCGAAAAAGTGATCTTCAAGATCAAGTATAAATTCACCAAGTCATTTTTTTACCTTAGAATGAATGTTGTACACAGATCGTATAGAGATCTCCAGCAATATCCCATAAACAGTTCTACAAGATGAGCAGGGAACGTTTCCGCCTTACCGATTCTCGGATTTCCAGAATTCTTTCAAATGATAACCAAACATCACAGCCAGCAATTCTCCATTTACAAACTCGTTTACCGGTAAGACAAAATACCCACAAATATGCTAACTGGTTTAACAAAAAGCAACTCGTTACTTTAGAAATACGTTTACATCTACCGTGGACGACTTTAAAAAAAGTTTTAAGTTCTAATGAGACTAATTACACCTAACTACAGCCGTAGACAAATGCATCGGAACGCATAGTTTTTAACACGCAGTCTTTAGGTATGAAGTTTATCGCTAAGCGTGAATGATTTGGATTTTAAGTAGAAATATGAATTTGTTTGTATTGCTTTGCTTGTTATGTGATGCAAACCGACCAAGATGATGCCCTTCTGAAGACGTGAAAGCCGATCAAGACGTTTATCCCAAAAAAGGATAAAGATAGCATCCGCACATTCAGGACGATACGGCATGAAAAGAGATAAAACGAACTTGTCAAGTTCACAATAGAGAAACAGAAATACTTGTTTGTCAATGGTCAGTATGTTGCGCAAGATCTGGAAAGTGCAAACTATGTGTGGAAAGTATTCCATACGTTTCCTGGTGACTTCAATAGCCAAAATGAAATCATTTTTGGATAATATTCTAGCAACAGTTGCAGTTTATTCTAACTTTCGTGCAAATTATTCTAAACAGAAAAACAATTCGGTCCAACGTAACTTTTACCTACACCCCATCACCAAAATATGCTTGCAATGTATTAGGAGACGAAAAACCAAAGCTCATTTCTCAACATGAAGACCGGAATTATCGTCAGAATACCAGTCCATGAAAAATAACTGAACATCCATTAGCGAAATCTAAGTAGGGCGTGAATAGTGCTTTGTGGACGAGCAATGAGACAAACGATGTGTCCAAACCCTAAGGGAGAAAGAGATCTATTTACCTCAAACCCTTAGCTTTACTAGAAATGAAGGAAGGAAGACAATGGAACTAACACGAAAAGACGTCTGGACACAAAGCACAAGTCGGTCGGAGCGAAGCGTGCAGCTGTAATCAAGCAGCAACTTTTCTGAGACAATCGGGTCAAAATAAATTCAGGTCATCGGAAATGAGCCGCAATATCAAATAATCAAAGGTACGATGACAAGTGGTAAGTCATCATCCAAAAAGCTGGTTTAAAAACGGTAACTATAAGATATGAGTGATACACAATATAACGATAAAATTATCATTAGGAAAGGCCATAACGCAACACCAGTCAACCAATTTAGCCCGAATAAGGTAATACATTATCAGTCAATGGCGTTATTAATCAAATGTTTTGACAGTCTGCCTAATCGAAATCACGAGAGGAGGAAGAGTAGACGTTTGCAAATCAGTTAGAAACCAAACGGCCGAAATCAAAGTAATCCCTTGTTTACGTTGCATTTACAAACATCCATAATTTTTATAATCACCTCGGGTTTAATTTCGTGCATTTCGTGCAAATCGAAGCGAAAACTTCTAACATGAGATTTTGTTTTATTCTTCCGACGGGAAATGCTTACATAGCTCAACTCAAACTTGGCTCCTCAGTGATATATGCCTAAGTTGGAGCACACCGGTTGACGCAAACAATTTTCTGATGACTACAATTGACGCAAGTGTTTACGTGAGTCCCGTGATTCTTAGTTGAATTAAGGACTCTCACTGACTTGAAGCAAGGAGGCGTATCGTGTTTTTCTAACCAAGAAACATGTAGGCGCATGGCATAAAATCAAAATTTATGGACCCAAAACATCCTTTCGTGCGCAATAATAAACTGGACAACAAAGCTGACACGATGTGCGCACAAGCTACAGCGTTGTGTATACCCATACTACCACATACATGATTAATCGGAGCCAGTATTCACATTGCTGAATAAACTTCTGTACGATTGACTAAATTTGCGGTATTCCACAAACGCACGACACGGTTACGTAATCAATGGGCACCGTCAGTTATGCTATTTTGCTACAACAGACGCATGTATATCTGGTATCGCAGATATCTATCAGTGATTTCATTCAAGTTGTGGCGCCCTTGCTTGTTTTGTTAACATTTCTCTGCTTCGAAAACTCATGACGATTTAACGATCCTGACGGGGTCGAAGATCAACTATTCAGAAATCATGGGATAATAAGAGAGCGAATGGTGTAAAAACTTAATAGTAGGTAATAAATTTGATTTGCTGACTATTTCAGTCTACTTAATCTGTTAAAATGCCGAAATGCTTCGCGAAATAAAGCATAGTTGTGTTCGCAAGAAAGCCTAAATTTTTAAGCGGGCCATTTATGTCAGAGGTTCCGCCTCGGCTATTTGCGACAAAGTGAATATAAGCAATAAGAAATCAAGCGACATTAACTTATGTATTTGCACAGTAGACTGGATCTCAGGTTAACATGAGCTTGGATACACATGAATAGCCAGAAGAAGATTATTACGGTCGGTTGCCTGGGATTGGTTAGGTCTTTACAATAGCATCTGCAATATTCACGTTTTAAGGATAGCTGCTTTCAAGAAACTTAGTTCAGATTTTCTCGAATGAAATGTCTTAAACTTCAGTAATGGGACGACAACTCACTCAGCGACAGCTTCATCTAATGTTCAATTCATTATAATGGCTGGGAAACCAAAATATAAATGCACCTAGACCTGAATGAAACTTTGTCAATACTACCTTCACCAGTATATGGTTTGTGCGAATTTGGTACTTTCTTCCATTTTTTATATCCATTGATCACTCACTGTATGCCACTTCAAACGCAAATTCAATCAAACCAGTCCTAATTACGCGCTCATAATGTGCGCGTTTCTACACGTGTACTTTAAGCCAACACACCTAAAAATATCACGATGATGATCGATGTTCTTTCCGCCCAACGGTGGGACACTTATACTGCATATTTATAATGCCCATGCCACAACAACCAGCAACACTGTGTGGCATTTAGTTTCCGATCACCCCAACGATCAGTTGATTACTCCCATAACCTTGATGTCACTATTCCGGCTTCGTTTGCCTATCTAAGATGCCCGTTGGGTCCACAAGGTTTGTGGTACTTGGGTGGGATCAATGGGACCTTCAGTACTTTTATTAGGCTGAATGCACGTTTGGTGGCCACGAATCTTAATACTGATTTTCACCTGGGTTGTCGAATTATAACCCGTCTTTCCCTTCCATACTGTTTCCCAGTGTACAAAGCTGCGGAACCTTTTGGTACAAAGCTCATTTGTGCTACGCACTGCCGAAAATGTTGTCGGGTTTACTTTTTCACAAAACACAGGTCAGAATAACTAAAAATATTGATTCATTAGATATTTTAGCTTCATATTTCCGCAAGGTTTTGCTTGAAATGTTATAAAAGTAGTGAATAATAATCCCATATTGTTTTACTGCAAAAATTCAGTCCAACTCAGCTGATGTTAACGTTGGTCATCATTCTCAACAATGTGACATATTCTGCTCACTTCCAAAGGCCATTTCTTGTCAAAGAGTGAAGGATGAGATAAACAACACAACTGGCATTTGTGGATGCTTGGTGCATGGGCAAGTTCGATAGCACTTTGTCAATTTCACTAAAGTAGATATCAGCTGAATTACAGCTATTCTAGAATTATAACAAGAGTTGAAAGTGAGAGATAATTGAAAGGCGAACTTTTTATTATTTACATTTGACAAATAATCCATTTTGTGCCATGAAATGATAGGGGAATTATCCTTCATCCGGTACGTTTACGTGCTCCAGTCAGCGGTCCCTTGGGTTCCATTGGTATGTGTACCAGTCCAACATCTATTACGGCACTCTGCACAAGGTAAAATTGGTACAGCTTTGACCCACGTGCTGTTTCGTGTTTCATTCACATTATTTTATGGTGAAATGTTCACGAGACAAGATCATTGATCACTTTGCTGTGTGCCGCATTTGTCAAGTGGGGATACGAAATGCCTAAAGTTTCTTTCAAAACATATTTCATTTACTGCTCGAGGACTTGTCTGTAGAGAATTTGCGTACAACTGCGAGTTATATTTAGCAGATTTATTACGTACTTGTCATAATATCGTATCCATATCTTGAGTGGCCGGGGGAACTACATCGTCTATCGTTGGTGGTTAGTACGACGTACACCAGAACATCCACCTACGCAGTGTTGTGGTAAATGTCAGAGCGACGGAATTTAAAAAGTTGCCGTAAATCTGATGGTGATCTTTAGGATGATGGTACTAATGAAACCTCGAAGTTCAACACATTGTTTCTGAGCAATCAATTTTCTACACAGAGAAAGTTTATCCTTGTCAAGTCAGGTGGAGAATTGGAACAACTCATAGAATAGAAGACTGGAGGAAAGCCGGTGTATTAGCAGGTTAGCTATAGGGAAAAAGGTAGTGCGTTCGCCAGAACTGTGGATAATGTCGGCGAAAATCTTATGATCAGCCCATGCATTCGTTTTGATAGACAAACTTAATGCCAACGACGCCACCAATGGGAGTAGACTGGTCTGAACCTTGTTTCTCCGACTGCTGGCGATGAAAAGTTTTGTCTTTTGTAGAGCTCAAACTACGAAAAATCTGCTTTCACAGTTCACAAACTGGGAGATCCATCGCATTTAAATTGGAAACTCGTTTCAGTTGTTTCTGTCGGTGCAGAAACACCCAATTTTTATTTGCTTAAATTTTCTCCTGTAGGCTGGCTAGAAGAGCCGCATTCTTCTCATTGAATATGAGAAAAAAATTGTGCATTCGTTTCATCTGAGTAACTGTCGGACGATCATTTCTTCACTTTGTGCCATTGCTAGTGAGTTGGGTACGAAAATGCAGTTGTTTGAACACATGTAACTGTTATCACTTGTAATGCTGGCCCTCTGTGGTTTACACATCTGTGGTCATAGCATTGAGCATCTGAAAGTAGGCTGGAAGATTGCATTCTACATTTCCCAGCTGAGTTGATTGCCGTGGAGGCTTGCATCAGTTAACCGCCAAGTATTTACGTAAATCCTCTGTTTGATAATTTATTCGGCTGCTAAGTAGGTAATTCCAGCAGAAGCCATGAACGTATCCAGGAGCTTCACACAATAATGTTGTGTTTATGCTTGTCCCTCCCAGTTTGCACTGAGTGCCACCAATGGCATGTGTTAGTTCGGCAGCTGAAGAACGCAAGCCCGTAGCTAAGTTTAACCATTTGGACCTCTTCCTCATTGAGATGGTGATGGCCAAAACCCGGCTCCCCAACAATGAAACAACTAAATCTGGAATGAACGGCAAATTCTGTAGTGCGCTATAGTTGGAATTATCTCCTCGACCTTGGTGCCTTCCTTTGCATTGATTTGATGACTTACAGAAAATTGTTTATTTGCGACAAACACAGCCCCATTATGTGTATATCGTATATATATTTGTGTATAATATTTCTTCCAAAGTCCACCAACCTGATCGTCGGCTAGCTAGATTACTTCTCACACTTTACCCACAAAATTGATTTACCAATATGTTGCTTGTATGCTGACCTGGAGAAATCGTAAGAACACTCATATTCACTCCATTGTGTTCTACACATTCACTGTAAATTTAAAAGGTTTTTCGGGCTTCTGAATACACGCTGCTGATTATTGAAAAATGCAGTTCGACCGACACAATGATTTGCGACTCACTCACTGAAATATTATCAGCCCAACAATTGCAGCGGTACACTATTCAACTCACTTTGTAAAATGGAACAAAAGTTGTCACACAAATTTAAAATCGTTAGCATGCGATTGTAGCATCGTTTGAAATTATGAAACAACAATATTTCGTCTGAATCGCAATTTGATCGGTAACACAACGCCCAAATCCCCTTGTTGCTAATTTTAGCAAGCGATTAAAGAACCACACTATATATAAAGAGAATAAATACGTCGAATTATAACGAGGTGATCCCCAGCGCACGCTCGAATACAGTTTTGCTTGGCACTTCTAAATCTTAAACGACCTAGCGTGTACACGCGGTTGTTAGGCTGGCTCTTGTTTTCTCCTGGTGTTTTCGTATATTATACGGCACACGTTTCAACAGATTGGCTCGAAGTCTACCTTAATTGAGTGGACGCATTTTGTGGTTGTACAGTGCTGGCGGTGAGAAAGCTCCGGCTAAAGAATAAGGTGAATTTTGCCTAACAGTGAGGATAAACTTATATACCCTTTTGAGGACGTCCATTGCAGGTTTTCTTGAGAAGTGTATTAAACTTGTAAGCACGAGTCAAATTATGCGAGAGTTTTCCCATAAAATTTCTTACTCACCGGACGTCACATTTTTGCTGCTAACTTGATTGGCGTCATAACGCTTGAAAGCGGTGTCCACCATTCCGAATTGTTCATCAGCTATGCGGTCTGTAAATAATGTTTATAAGCGTCGGCAAAAATCTCACAAAATGCGGCCAGAATCTGCAGCAAATTAAAGCTCAACGGATCTTACTGCCATTTGACCATCATAACCTTAATATCGTGGCGCTGATTATTGACACCCATTTGCATGTCACCACCACACTTAGGAGCTCAACAGCGCCGGACACGCACCCATTTCCGTGACGTTCCTTTGAAGGTTTGTGCAGTGAATTTGCATACATGGCGGTCTATCTTATTTGACTTCGTTGGCAGGTAAATGCGGGATCAGATGCATCGTCCAACACATATGAAACTCCACCGAAAACTGATTGTTGGTTTGATTATTTTGCGCAGCTGGGTACTATCTAAAAAAATGGTAAACTTAACTAGTATAAGGAGGTTAAACATTAGTAATCTCGATGAAGACCCCTTAAGTGTATACGGTTAGATTTTGTTGACCGCGCTTACTCCAAACCCACACTACTCAGGTATCTAAACACCAACATGATATTTTGGCCAGTGAGATTTAGGCATTTAACAGTGTTGCCCGAATAACGCTGGCATCACATGTTTTTTATGGTATCACACAGTTTGCATAAACACTGTTTGGGCAAGCTGGACATTTTGGTACGCGAATGCAACCATTCTGCACCAATTTGACTCAACTCCCCCATAACATGAATGGCCCAATTTTTGTTCTGACACTACTACAATTCGGGAAATTTCAGCGACAGCTTGGTAATAACACGTGTTATAAGTGGTTAGCAAATAATGAGCCCCTTGATTTGACGAACAGCGAAAAATAGCTTTTACACGTGAAAACATTAGAGCGATTTTCAGGCATTTACTCCTGAGTCTCAACATGGAATATGTGCTTAAAATGTAGCTGTGTATATCTAAGCAAACTAAAGTGCTTAGTTTTAGCGCCTTGAAATGCAAGGCTTTTTCTACTGCCGTTTGTAAGTTTACGTTTAAAGTTGCCAAAACAATATCAAGAGGTGGCCCATCCGTTTGTGCTACGAATTTTTCGACAGTGGTCCCTACAAATGCAATAAGATTTCAGTGTAATCAAATTTCAAATTGTGTCGTTCTTACGACCTGGATAAAGACGCAAGCTATCTCAGTATTTATCAGGAGACGTTTTGCTATTAAGTGAAAAGAATTCAGGCATATGCACATACATTTATCTTGTGGATACTCCAGCCAAAGGGTTGTTAATATAACAACCGATTTCATTCCATGTGCCGGGTTTTAATACCGTATCAGGAATGATTATTTTAATTAGACTGCACCAACAGATGGAAAGTATGGTAAAAGCGGTTTTGAGTAAACCTGTATTTGTTCGTTTGTAGGTTAGTTTGTTTATCTGAGTGCAGACATGAAAGCTCGTATCCCTAGAAGCGACCACATACCCGCTGCCGCAATCTTGTTATCCGTGAAAACAAGAGGTTCGTGAGAAATCGGACCGGGTTATTACTGAAAACGTAGTATTTTGGTTATCTGTTTGAACGAAGAACTTTGTGGAAAATGAGTTCCAACCTTACGTTATACCATAAATTCAAACAGCAACCTTGGTTGAGCGAAACGCTAGACAGACAAATTACCGATGGCACTATCAATTCAATGATAAACAAGAGTGAATCGAAGTTACTAGATATTTGAGATCCATCATGAATAATTGTGATGAACATGACTGACACTCTACTCATTGCTCTATTCATTATTCTCTTGTTTTAATTTTCCATATGCTGTACATATTCGCCAATTCGAATACATACGTGCTGGTTGTTACGCTTCGCTGAATTCTGGATTTCTAGTTCGTCTGGTTATGCCAATATACGTACGAAACATAATTCTCACAATAATTTAAGTCCAAATATATGCTACCGGTTGTTCCTAAAACCAACGATTCAAACATCACTCTGCACGATTTCAAGGCAGAATTTGCGATAAGACCTATAATCGATGGTTCAGGCTTGCCACCACTTCAGCTGACTAGATTCGTAGCTGGTCTTATGGAACCACTTACGGGGAATCCAAGCATTAAGTAAAAGTACGATTTTGTCAGTAAGGTCGCAGGATTTGCTTTAGAGGTGCACAAAGTCCTTCCAATTTTTGAAGTCGTTTCAATGTACAAAAATATCCCCGGGGAAGATTTTTCGAAGGTGACGAACGAGTTTGTTACTGGGAGACACAACACTTAAGGAATGAACACGACAATCGGTGGATAAAATTTATGAACTTGTAAGTGTGCACTTTATTACTGACCAGCTTGTTTGGAAAAATCACTTAACTCACAAGATCAGGATTCTACAATGAGATTTAAAATAGCAACTGTTTCGGCTTAGATCAATATGGAGGATGCCAAACAGAAGGTTTTGGCTGGTCATCTATGTCCACTGAAAATTTTCTAGCGCTAAAATATGACCTATTTGCTGTAACCAACGAAAGCAAATCAGCACAAGCCATGACTTTACTGTATTTGGAATCCTCATATCAAGTTAAGCATAACGATAGAGTCCACCTCGAGCTCACTGGATTCCCTGCACTGAACGACACAGTATTGCTAAAAAATAAACCTATGTTCTGTTAGAAAATATCACACGCAGACACCGTTTTATGCTCATTAGCACCTGGGCGTCAGTACTGTCGCGTTTATCTTTGGTCGTGTTAGGTCCCTTTGCGCAGGAAACATCTTCTAAACAGCGACTTAAAGGAAGATTACTAATCGACTCCGTAAAGTTGCATATGCAGTGAGCTTGTTTAGGTGGCATCTGGGAACAATGCCGGCTCCAATATATAGAGAATGACGGTGGAAATCATCAGACATAACAGCATGACAATGATATGGCATGACAATACGAAATAATATAAAATGATATAATGTAATTTATCGTGAAATGATATAATGTAAGATAGTATATATATGTATATGCATTAAACAATGAAATAAGTTATACCACATTATTATATGTATATGCGTAATATAAAAGTATAATAATATACTATAAGAATATAATAATGTAATATAATATACGATATGATATATTATACCATAAAATCTAAAATAAATATATTATACTGTATTGTATTGTCGTTTAACGTAACGCAATATATTTTACTGTATTACAACATAATATTATGCACTATGCGGTGTTGTTATGTAACATAACATAACATATAATAAAACGTAATACAGTATTGTGTAGCATAAATTAACATAATACAAAATAATATAATTAAAAGGAATCGAATATAATGTAATAAATTAGATGTGGAACCAGCGTTTTTGTAGAGAGATGACTTTGATAAACCTAGTTGACACGCAATAGTTTGGTGGTGTCGGTTTGCGTAGAATCATCAGTAAAAGTGTGGTGGTATAAAAGTTCACCTGAACAATGGACCGAATTCTATCCAGTGAACAACTATTTTAGCACTAACTTCTCTACAAATCGGGCAAAAAGTTCAACCGACAGTCAAGAATAATCTTCACGTAAATCGAACTGGAAAAACCGGAACCTTAACTGACCAGAAATCTATGTAAACTTCCCATCAGTGTTCACAGTGCCAACCTGACTAACAAACGAGATTTCTCACCAGATGACATCAGGTAATCGCATTTTCAGTGCTTACGTCAACTTTGTGTTTTGCGGGTACCCACTGTACTTATTCGCATCCTGCTTTGGTTTTCAAAGGAGAATGAATTGAATCCCAGCTAAAGAAGAAGCAAAATATAAGGCGGTCTTTTTGCGCTGCTTTTTGGTAAGGGATGCCTTAAACGAGAGATTTGGTTGAATTTTATTTGAGCGCTCCGGGATGAAAATGAGAGTAGATGCTGTAGAATTAAGTTCGTAGAAACACGTAGATCTGCTGGGGACGAAAACGTGCTTCAAAATTTAATCACGAAAACTATCCGCAAGAAATAATGATCCATTTTTCGAATTCACCGAAAGCACATTTCTATGAACTATTTTGAAATTATCACTGTGTCCGGTGAACCATACCAAATCCTGACCTGAAACTTATCGGCTATACAGCATCCTATGGCTGCAGGAAAAACGAAGAAAACAGCAAATTCTCTGGTGGGTCGTGAATAAGCAGATTTTATGTTAGGCACGCGCGTTGCAAGACGTTTACAGAGTTTGGGGATAAGCGTAAATATCTCCCTTCTCCACATTCTCCGTCGAATTTCTTCAGACCAATTGTGCAACCAGACATTGCACCTGGCTCCTTGTTCGGTACATTTCTTCTACAGTAACTAGCGCACATATTAAAATCCGGCATATGCAGCAACGTAAAGCGTGTGAATCTTGGGACATTAGCCAAAACTAAGCCCATATTACGAACAGCTATGTGCGGAAGATGATGCGTTCTGCCCGCATCTTTGACTTTGTGCATAAATTTGTGGCTAGAAGACGGGCTTTTTCCCCTTGATAAGCAAATGACAATCTCCAATTATGGGTATTTGACACCTTGCCGGACAAACCCCTTACTGTGCCCCGATTCGCGGATTTTCTGGAACTGGTTATTATCCGATGAAATACGTTGCGATTCCTATAAAGTGGAATCTGTTAATAGTGACCCTGAATTTCCTCTTGGCATGCTAACTGCCATCTGTTCAATGTTCTGTTGGCTCGAATGACATAACGTCTGTGTTATTTTGATTATTCAATGCAAGTACAACTTGAAATAATTATGCACAGACTGCAAAGTTCTCCATCTTGATACAAAGTGTGTAAAAGCATAACAGACGAACGCAGCGGACAGAGATAACCACAAACACAAGACTCAAACTCAAACAGTATTCAGTAACTACGGAATGGTTTACTTTTTTATACAAGGCAGAAAAGCTTGTGCTTTTTTGGGGAAAAAAAACTACAAGAAAAACCAAAAGCAACTAAAAACGTGTGCTGCCACCCCTATCAAATTAATCTTCTCAATAAAAATAAAACAAATATTTCTTGGTTTGCAAATTGTTTTAAATACGTTCCTGAATATGAGACGCGTGTTATATTCAGAAACAGAACGCGGACGGACAAACTGTTACAAGTACGTTGTTGTCATTGGAGTAATAACGCTGCAGTAACTAAAAACACGGAAGCTGTGGGAATTTCTCATTTGTTGTTCCAGTATTCGTTTGTCAGTATTTAATTTTCTCAGAGCACAGTACAGCTAATAAAGTGAGCGTGGAATACTCTTTCTCTCGAATTCGCGGAAGTGTGTTCCTCATCAGACTTATAAAAATTCACAATCACAGTTTTTTATCGGTCTTCGTGATCACAACCGATTTCATTCCACTCTGCGTCTAATTATCCATTGAGATATGACTTCGTGGTACCCTTATTTTTGAAACAATCACATGGCGAAACACACTTGATTGCATTCCAAATAGGTTTTGTCGAGAAACTCACTTGGAAGCCAGCAGAATTTCTCATTTAGGTGGCTTTTTGTCAACTTTCAATGCTTGCTGAAACAAAACATGCGCCTAGCGGAATTTCGGATATGCACCAAGCTGACCATCCCAAGAAGGGTGTCGGCGTTTTGTCAGCAAACGAATGAATACTGTATGAAGTCTATACAAAATAATATACTTTGAGCGCTGATAGAGTTTTAAAAAGCAGACGTCTTTTTGGAGTTCTGATATAATTTCCAATCTACAAGTGTAATTCACATCTCACCATGGTTTTGCGAAGATACGCTTCCTTTGCTTAAAACCGTGATTACTGGATGTTGTCATGCGTAGCTATCGGCGTCCATGGAACCCAAAATCATCATCACAGTATGAGCATATGAGAAGAGAGGCATTTTCCTCCCACAACTTTGAAATTTACTGAATATATTTTAGAAGCAACTCCACACCAATTTTGTTTCTTTACTTGTCAATTATAGCGTAAAACGCATCGACAGGTAATGTTTCCTGGTAGTCATTTAAACTTGGCAAACTTATATCTGGAGGCCAGGAGATACAGATTTTTGCGGTTCAGATCTACTTGGTGGTGCATGCGTTGTCTATCACGTCGTGAAAAATGTTGATAGCTAAATATGACCTTTAGTTTGACAAAAAATTGACCTTTCCAGAGACCACGTATCCCTATTTGCTGTCGAGCACATTGTCTTTAAAACAGTTTCCGAATGGTATTAATGGTTGCATCTTGCGACAACAGCTAGAACCCGCCGATATATAAGAACAGGAATGAAAAATGGGGGAGATTGAATTATTTCATTGACATGTGCATCAGTTAAGATTCGAGCTTCTTACACATTACGATGATATCAACAGCGTACAGTTTGTGGCGGAACTGGGTGTGTCCGGAGAATTCAGGAGTGGCGGACCATCAGGCATTTTGTATTTACTGAAAATAGTCCGATCGCGGTTTCTCGAAAGGTTATAATTTCTGAACACATTGTGTGAGCTTTGTTGTCTAGTTTATTATTGCGCATGAAAGGACATTTTGGGTCGATAAATTTTGATTTTACGCCACGCGCTCACATGCGCCGTGGTTAGAAAAACACCGTACGCCTCCTTACTTCAAGTCAATGAGAGTCCTTAATTCAACCAAGAATCACGGGACTCACGCAAACATTTGCGTCAATTGTAGTCATCAGAAAATTGTTTGCGTCAACCAGTGTGCCACAACTTAGGCATATATCACTGAGGAGCAAGCTTTGAGTTCAGCTATGTGAGCAATTCTCCTCGGAAGAATGAAACAAAATCTCAAGCCAGAATTTTTCGCTTCAATATGCTCTGGGAACGGCGTAAGAATTTGGCTATTACACAACAGAAAAAAACAAATTTCCAGGACCTTTTCTAACCTGTAAATTTTATTTCACGTTTTGTTCATTCCAGTCTACTTCATTTACAACTCTTTAGTTTTTGAGTTGACAAGAATGAATAAATGGAGACTCGATTGCAGAAAAGGTTTTCCGATAAAACAGCATTGGAACAATCATACGAACATTTTACTTCCCCGGCATTCAAACCATTTAAATACTAATGCAGGTTGCAAGCAAATAACCAGAGCATATCGCTTCAAGGTATGGCAAATTTTACCAGCCCACTTTCGAAGCATTTGTGTTCCTGACCTCAGTGCAAGGCAGCTCATTACGCACAATGTGTAACTAATAAGAAGTTTCACAGCCATCTTCGCTACACAGATATTCTACATGTTATAAGGGGTTATACAGTTGTGATGTTCACCATATGTTCACCGTATGTGATTTCAGATGAAATTGAATGTAAAAATGAGGATGATGCGATTAACTTCTGAAGAACCTAAAGCTTTCGACAAATACATTCATTTGCATATCAAACGTGATTCCGCGGGAGTCCCAACCGAACCTCTCGTGTACGATATTTATCAATTAAACGTGCTGCATGAAGGCTGCTTGATGTTTCACCTGGTAAGATGCTCGGTAAATCACAGTAAATTTTCATAGGGTAGACCAATAAAGAGTTTCCTGAAATGTCTTCGACAACTCATGACCAAACGCCTTCGGACAGTATATCATGCTTTGATGCTAGAGGGTAGGGAAATATGCACGTTTTGACCTCGAAAATATGACAGTCGGATGATCATTGTGTGGACTCATTCTGGAGATAACATAGTTTGAAACTCATCAAAATGGCTTGTAAAAAACTTAATAGTAAACGTATTCCAGTGAGTTACTTATGAAGAGACGAATTCTGTGTGACTCACGCATACTATAACCAGGATCTAACAGGATATGCAAAGGTCACCAATGGCAAAAAATTCCCTCCCAACTAGACCAGCCTAAGATTACCCTGCCCCTTCAACATGTGGCACCCTGTTCTGTGCTTAGTGTGGAACGGCAAAACTTAAGTGCTATTCCTAATGTGGTTATGTTGCTTCAAACTCCAACTCTTCTGTGCTGACCTCAAAATGCTGCCTTGATCTTCATAAAAACGACCGATGAATACTATGCTGATCTCCGGCAACAAAATACTTGCTGAACGATGCGCGAACTTATTACCCCGTGAAGAATAGTTTGCAACGTGTTTGGCAGAAAATGCTGTTATAGCCTGGAATCTTAGCAAGTTAGCATTGGATGTGTTACTGGTTACAAAACTGGTCGTAGCTAACTTAAACGTTTTGTTGATGTGGGTCATTTTTTGCACCATGATAACCTCTTTTGTGGGCTGACACTGCTTGAGTGTTTTACCTAAGGCCCCATTAAACTGCTGGAGTGTTTAGCATATATTGTTTGCGCTTTGTCTGTCACGCCTACCATACAGAACTTTGCTGAAGTAACATTTCGTACTGCTAAAATGGCAGCTGGAAAAGTTACATCTCCATCATAGTTGTGTCTCGCTAAACGCACCTCCGGTCGGTTTTCCTGAATAGACAACCTGTTCTTCACAATTTTCGCTGCTCTGAGTCCCTCATGCCTACTACTCCCACACAGCTCAATCCCACTCTGGTCCACATTTGGCCTCCGTGACTTTGGCTAAGCCCACGGAAAATCATGACTCGCACGGATGAGAAAGCCTAATACCACATGAGCCATCATGAGGTGAAGTGGGCCAGGTCTTCTTACTCGCTGCACACCACACGGTGGTTGGGCGAATATGTATTACAACTGGCCCCTGATATCTTTCTTTATTTTTATCCACTAGCTGCCAACCTGTTAACCTGTTACAAGCAACAGTTACTCTTTTCTAAATTCCAGATGCATACACTACCAGGTCAGAAAGCCACGAAGTTGATATGGTGCATGCTACTGCTCACATATATTGCTTCACGCTTGCTGTTGATAACTCATTCTTCTGATTTTCTCTGGCCCCTACGGTGGGCACTTTAAGGCAGATCGGTCAACAAGGACTGCTACGTTCACTCTAGACACTCCGTCGGTTGTGTGCTGCAGCTTTCAAACTCGCTGCCAATATTACAGCACCCAGACTATTTGGACACCACAGGCTAGAAAATTTGAGTGATCCAGAAAATTCTGCATCCGTCACCGTAGGTTTTGCATGGCTTTGTGTCTCCAAGCCAAAACTGACTGCGTTTACGTAGACATTCGTCACTGTGCCGTCCTACTTTCTGCCTCAAAATCACACGTGTCGAACTAATGGGCTCCATTTATTAGTTGTCTGCAGTTATACACAGAAAAAAATACAGCACGCAAACGGATGCTTTTGAATTTATAAGCGCATGCTATTAGATCCCGCTGCACACTATTCCTTTTGGTTCGGAGCGCGATTCGGCTAGACAAATTATTAGAATAGCGCTCCACCGTAGACCATTTGTGCGCAAGGCGGTGTGAGTGCGCCGGAAATTTTCGGAAAAGGTAAACATCCGTATTTTCGGAACTGTACGCGGGATAAACAAGGCAAGATTAAATGCCTTCCGTAGGCAGGTGAATCACATTCCCCCTTTCCACGCCTAATGACTTCTGTTATTTCGGAACGTAAAACGCAAGTCCCAGAACACTAAAACTATCTCCGCCCTGTCGGAGTCTGCGTTTACAATATCACAGCAAATGTCTGAGCAACGTTCCTTATGCCTCTAACCAGCACTTGCGGCTTTTCTCAACTTCAGAGGAACCTATGAGTCTGTTGATATACTCGCTGTGCTAAACATTGTTGGCCAAAAAAAGATGCCGTTGACTTTTTTAAACATTCTTCGCACGCTTTATCCCCATTACTCCGGCCAGGTTTAGGTGCGGATCTAAATCTCTGGATAAATCCAGATAGCTTGTGCAGGTCTTTAGGAATGTCCCCTCTCTATTGTTTGTTTAGTTTTCTCACACTTCGAAGTCTAATAAATGTAGATATCAAAACCAAGACTGAGGAAAGATAAATTCACCTAACCGGAACTTGTAGTGTTTTTACTCCAAGAATGTTTTGCCACGCAAATAACTTAGCCAGTACATCAAAGATGACCTCCTGCATTTTGCAACTTCCCTTTTGGAGGCTTTAATTCAAGATTTCAAGTACAATTTGGGATTTTCTGATACTCCCGAATAGACCCCATTATTTGTTGATCATCTCTGGTATCCGTTGACCTTATGCTGAAAACTGGAGTCACTGCACGAATATTCAATTCACGATTGGCGTTGGTCAGCTTGCTTCATTTCGGGCGTTACAAACAAAAACCAATAAAGCTATAGAGTGGTCTATGAAAGGTAACCGCAAGAGGAGTCTTACTATATGTTTGTGAGGTCTGGCTCAACCAAAACAGAGGATGCTTGGGCGGCTTTGAGCTAATGTTAACCGGTCTTTCTATGGCGTTGCGAGAGTTAGTTGGCTGCAGCGAATACGCACTGAAGTGGTGCGCATACCTATCGAAGTTCCGTCTACCACTGTTTGCCGGTTTGATGTCAGAGGGTTTGATCACTATCATGACGGACTTAATTTGACATGCTGATCAGCTGTGCATGGAAGCGCCTTGTTTTGTTGCCCACTAATGACAAAAGGTGCTCTGCAAACGTCCCTTCCATTTCCACTCGCATATGCTTTCATTCTGCATACTGGCAGATAAGCGCCAGTATATCTTACAGGAATGTTGATGTCATGAAAATAATGGTAATGGTGGTGATTATGATAGAGCGTATGGTAATGCCACAAGCAGACAGTATTCGAAGGCCGACACACTGTACTAGCTAGAACGATGGTGAGATTCAATTGACACAATCACTGCGTTATGGGTACTACAAGCTGATTTACCCCGGTGACATCTTAAGCGCACACCTCGTATGAAACTGGTAATTGGATAAATTCTTGCCCCAACTTTGAGTATTTGTTGTCCGTGCTGACATTGGGGGGGGGCAAATTCAGTTAATGGTGCAGCAGCTTACCTAAAAGCGATCAGGTCACATCGGTAGCGAGTTTCCACGTACTACAACACAAACACCAATGATGTGTGGCCAGTAGCTCAGTGAAATTGTTACTATTCTTTAAAAGCGGTGAGACACTGGCGAATTGGCTCACACACGGTGCACATGCTCACGGTCGGGAGTTAGTCATGAAAGGGTTCATGCGAATCGAGACTTCACAGGACTGTTCCGTAGAGCAATACACTTATATGTCCCTTCAGATGCTTTCCCGCAAAGTGCGCGAATCTGGAATTTCAATGTTTTTGTATTGCAACATTTGCAGAACTCTATGAGTAATCTCCAACCTCCCTCCCATGTTTACATAGGACGTAGACATTTTAATCCGTCGAATGATAAAACATCTCATGTGTTACTAACCTTATTTGATTTAGGATTGAAGACTGATCGTTGGGGATTTTGTCGCACAAAACGCAATGCTATGTTCCAGGAGAATTAGCTAAATAATCAACTGGTGTATTGCTGAACAACATTTCGTTTTTCGGCACAAAGCCGCTCCAAGCTAAGTAATTCATTTGTTAGGTAAACCGGGTTTTGGGACAGTCTAGGGATTGGAACTACGCCCAAACACCAGCGCTCAATGTCGTTAATGGTTGTCGCACTGGACCGTATGCCTTTCACACAAAGACAGCGATTTTCCAAGTTGCTATAGTTGTCAGGACGCGACCAGACAATAAAATATCATATATGAGAAGGACGTCTGAGAAGGACGTCTTCCCAAAGTCATTGTTGCCACCACACCATCAGGATAGCACGTGCGATGGCGAAGCTCATGAAACACAGCTCAGCAACGTAAAGCCAGTTGAGTGGGGCACCAATTACTGATGGCCGAAACAGCGCGATCGGCTGTACAGTATGAACAAGTGAACGACCATATCTGGCCCTGTAGTCATCCTATATATCTACTCAGAAACTCTGTATGCTTTACCCTGACATTACAGCCGTGTCCAGGGTATCTGTCTTCACATTGTGGTTTCATTGCAGGCGTAACACATAAACGGCCACCGACGATGCAACACTGGCGGACGGGTGCTCATAATGGCAATTTTATTTGCACAAGTGCAGCGGCAACAGTTTGAGCTGGCGCAGTTGAATCTAATCGAGATGCCGACTGAATCGCTTTCATTTTAGAAGACGCTAAGTCAGACTATTTAGCCTTTCGTTCCAGTGATGGGCACAATGTTCGACGCGATTGCTGACCTCCAGTTCGATCTAGTCTTATGGATTACTTCCGATTCGCGTTTCAGCAAGCATACAGTTTTTTTCGGACTGGATCTGGAAAACTGAGATTCCTGAAAAGCGAGACAACTGGTCAGGGTAATCGGAGTTGCCGAACTTGAACGTTTCACGAACTTTATATTGCCAAATCAGTCGAGAGAGCTGACTTTCAATGAAACGTTTCTGTTTTATCGTCAATATTTAATAAACTGGGTTCCTTGTTAAGCCTTCGATATCACTGTGTGAAATTGAGCAAAAAAACTGCTGAAGACTGGTTGCGTATCCAGGCCAAGTCAACAAGGTGTGTTAACGGTTCAAACATCGAAGCACGATAGATGATGAATTCAAATGTCTTATACGTGTGTGCGAAATAAGTCCTCTGAAGACGCATATATCAGAACAAGAGTCCTCAGCAAAATTGTGCAAAACCCAGAGGTCACGTCAAAGAATATAACGTCTGAATGGAAACGCCTGGTGAATCTTAAGCATGATACGGTCATGGTACAAAAATATTGTCCCCGCAATACTGTTTGTGCGATTTGGAAGCATACTGTCCATCCGGGTGACCAGAGGTCACCTTTGGCATGCTAAAAATGTGATAAATGGCATTTCGTCAAATGCTTTCGTTCAGAAGCCACCGTTGAAGATGCTCCTGCACTGAACACAGTGAAGATCGCTAACACCTTAAGCAAAGGCATTCACACACGATGCATTTTCAAACCAGACTTTCCCATTCCAAGCATTCTATGGCTCGCGTTTTTCTGGCCGATCATCAACGCCCACAGTCAAACAAAACTTAATGCGGATCAGCGCGAATTACAACACACCTGTTCGTCTCTAGCTGAACACGGCATCCGACATCATCACCATCTCGAAGAGTACATGGAAACTTTTAGGCAGCTCAGCATTAAGCAGAAAGAAACAAGTGGCACGACGCGTCCGGCAGTTTGCTGAAACTCTAGGTGAGTTCAGTCGTTCCTTTACTTTCGAAGATACTGGAGTGGTTAACGACCCTATAAAAGGCCTGCAGTGGTCCGGCTACCCAATTAGATACTTTGCCAGGAGTGTGTGGCACAGAAACAAAAATTATAACACTGGGTTGGGTATACAATAACAAAGGGGTTAAATGGAACAGACCTACTAATAATTATTCCCTTTAAAACATTTCGTCGTTGGCCCAAGTCAGCGAATAAACAATAATCCGATCATAGTTGTCCAGGGGTCTTCTTCTGAACAGTTCCCAAATGTAATAGATTCCGAAGACGGTCTGAAATATTTTGGTACCAGAGTTAGCACATGAGACTCGCGAATGACCACTGCAAGCGCGAGCGAAATCAGCTGAGAGAGTCGAAGCGCGTGACAACGCTTGTATTCTGCGAAATGGTACAAGTGCGCGTTTTTGTAGTTTCTCGTTTTTAAACAAAAAACGATTATGCAATTGATCAAATACGTAATGTTACAATGCAAGCAAAATAAAGGTACAAAACGCCACACTACTCCCTCACTAGAGCGTTGACGGTGAAAGGGTAAAACGCTCGAATAATTGAAGTAACGAGTCAAAAAGTTGCTCACTTCAAGTTTCGTAATCAACTAAGTGCTGAGGGAAACGGACGCGTCGTCCGGAATGACTAGTGGAAGGAGTGAAGTTGGCGGTAGGGATATATTGGGTAGGTGCGGGTTTTGTTGGGATAGCAGGATTGCTAATGACTAGTGAAGGAGTGAAGTTGGCGGTAGGGATATATTGGGTAGGTGCGGGTTTTGTTGGGATAGCAGGATTGCTGAATGTGGTCGAGGGTGCTTCGATGGAGGCAGGTTTCAGACGATCAATGGAGACGGTATCGTGCTTTACGCTTCTCTCTAAAACATACTATTTGGAGTGACGTTCGATAATTTTGGAGGAGCCATCATAACGGGGTTGGAGATGTTTCCTCGTTGCGTCATATCGGACAAATACAAATGGTGTAGAAGAGAGATCGGTTGAAATGTGTTCCGTTCGCGTTGATCGTCTGGTCGGTGTCACACAAAGTTCGAACGTATGCTGTTTCAGACGGGTGACAAATGTGACGAGTGATTCGGGCTGTGCGCCAAATGAGAAAGCCAGTTCATCGGGTGAACTTAAAGTTGTACCGTATACCAGTTCAGCTGGTGAATAGTGAAGATCCTCCTTAAAAGTGGAGCAAATAGCAAACAAAATGAGGGGTAAAGTGAAAGACCATGAGGATGGGTTCATTTGGGCCATCAATGCAGCTTTGAGGTATCGATGGAAACGCTCAACCAGACCGTTGGAAGAGGCGTGATATGCGGTAATCGAAAGGTGATGGAAACCGATAAGTGTTGAAAGCTCACGGAAGAGATTACACTGAATTTGTGAACAGCGACCGGTAGTAACGGTGCAGGGTATGCCAAAGTTGCTCACCCAATCTTGCAAAAATGAAAAGGCAACCGTTTTAGCTGAAGTATCCAAAATGAGTACTGGTAAAACGATCAATCATGGTAAGGATATGAGTGAAACCGTTTGATGGAGAAAGTGGACCAACACTGTCGAGATGAACGTGTGTGAATCAAGCATCAGGAACTGCAAATGAACCGATAGGTGAGTTTGTATGCCGAGTTACTTTGTTGCGTTGGCAGGCGATGCACTGTTTGGCCCAGGATTTTAGCTCCTTATTCATGAATGGCCATACAATGCATGCACTAATGAACTTCCTGGTGGCTCTGATTGCTGGATGAGAAATCTATGGGAGCGGTCGAAAACAACTTGTCAGAAGGCTTCGAAGACGACTGAGCGGGCTGATCCGGTGGGCATATCGCAAAAAAATGGATTCAGACTGGATGGATGAGGGAAATGAAGAGAATGGAAATGAAGGGAAGGATAAAATGGGCAAAAAATTAGGATCACTATATTGAAGGTTCTCCAGCTTGGCTGGATCCAACTGCGTGGAAGGGTGAAGAGCGTTGATATCAGGACAGGATAGTGCATCTGCGTCGACATTGTCCGAACCTAGGGTGTACCGAATATCTGTAGTGAACTGTGAATTATAGTCAAGATGGCGTATCTCGCGTGGTGAATATCGATCAGGCTTGGTGTTAAAGGCATACGTAAGTGGCTTATGGTCGGTTTGAATGGTAAACGATCTACATTCTAACAAGGACCGGAAATGGCGAATAGCAAGGTAAGTCGCGAGCAATTCACGACCAAAGTACTGTAACGCGTTTGTGTAGCCTGCATCTTCTGCGAAGAAAAGGCTATTAGTTGAGATGCGCTGTTAACACTTTGGTGAAGTACGGCGTTGTCGGCAGCGCTGGAAGCATCAGTTGTCAAAATCAACTTTGTGCTTTCATGAGTCTCGAGGAAAGATAACTTTTTGGCCTGAGCAAAGCCTTGCTTGGCTCCTTCGAAAGCGGCAATGGTGGCAGGGAGCAAAGTGACAGATTCTTCTTTGGAGCCAGGTAAATCGGTCAGTGGCTGCGAAATATCTGCACAATGAGTGGTGAACCACCGGTAGTAATTGATGATACCTATGAAACAACGAAGTTGGGTGAGAGTGGTGGGTATGGGAAAGGATCAGAAAGGGCCAAAATGCGATCGGGCAAGGGTGAAACACCTGTGAGGTCAATGTGGTGGCCACGAAAATCTAGGCTAGTAACACCGAATAAGTATCTGCCAATGTTTAAACGTATGTAGTAAGTGGAAAGACGTTCAAACACTGCCCTGAGATGAACTGCATGCTCAGTTTGGGAGGTGCTAGCGATTGAAACATCGTCAATATGGGCATACACAAAAGGTAAACCACGTTAAACTTCGTCCATGAAACCTTGAAACGTTTAAGTTGCATACGCTTGAATTCTAAAATGCCAAACGGTGTTATGATGGCTGTTTTAGCAATGTCATCCGGGTCTAAGAAGATGTGGTAGTATGCACACACGAGATCAAGTTTGGAGATTTTAGTGTAGCATAAGGTACTTGCGAGATCGTGGATATGTTGGATGGGATACCTCTCTTGAATAGCGGCGTTATTGAGAGAAAGGTAATCTCCAAAAGGTCTCCAATCACCCTTAGATTTCTTGGGTACCATATGTAGAGGTGAGGACCAATGACTCTATGAAGTGCAAATGATACCGATCCGCGGATCCACGGATTGATACACAGGATCGGGGCTTTTGCCCAAGATTCCCGGGTCGCTTTTGTTCATGTCGGTCAGTGGCTGTCGTTCACCCAAAAGGCACAAGTTAAAAAGGGTTTAGCACTGCTGTTTATGTTCTCAGCGCGGGGCAGTATGCTTGCAAGCGCGAGGATTCACATAAATACATGTCTAAAAGTGCTTCAAACGGGGTTCCAGAAGGAGCGTGGACAACCGTCGGAGGAAGGTCATTCCACGCACTCACTACCCGAAATGAGGAATAAATTTGCCCGATGAATGCGTGCGCTCTGAACATGCGAATTTTCTTGCTATGTCCCCGCCGTGAGTTTTCTGGGTCAACTGTGAAAAAAACTGTTTGCCAAACTTTGTTCAAGCAGAGCATAGGTAAAAATTAGGTCCCCTCGGAGGCGACGGTACATCAGGGGAAAGAGATCAAGCATCGCGAGACACGTTTCGTAGTCCACG